ACTTTCATCTCGACCATTGTATTGAAAAGTGAAACGAACGCATTGGGATGAGGAAGCGACCAGTTTCATATCAGCCACCTCCTAAAAAACTAGTCTTGTACGCATTTTATTTCGAGGTCTCTATTCTCCAAATCACATGTCTATCTAGATCGATATAAGGCTTTCTGGGGTATGTTCCGACTTGTCTTTTGTAAAGAATCCACCTTGAAGTCGTTTCAAAGTTCTTCAAACCTAAAGTTTTGCGTTTGGCAAAGCTCAGCTGTGTCTCATAGATTTTCTGTCCGCGTCTCCTAGATTTTATTCCAGTCATTATCCCCTTTGGTGGTTTTGGATGGATAGGGCAATTCAGGCATCAACATTCCTTGAATTGGGCAATCCATCCTTTAGGGGGTCATTACACTCCCAAAAATTAGCATAACCCCAAAAATATTGTCGCGGATGAGATAGGGAGGTTCCCGGTTCAACCAACCCTTATATAATATCCAGCAACCAAGCTATCTAATCCGCTGGGGGGGTTCTTACACCGATTTAATCAAATGGGGGTGTGCTTCGAAGTTGCTACGCACGGAGCGGTTCGCTCCCCCCAATTGACCAAATCAGTTCCTAATTATATAATATTCTCTTATATTAATATATGTATATACAAATATATGTACGTACGTATCTATCATCCCATAATTTGCTGTCATGAAACATTGCAATCCCAATAGTTCACTCACCTGCATGGTTTGGCCATTTGGGGATGATTGAGGTCGTTATCATTTACCCATTTCCGACAATCTACTAATTCATGCAAGCACCCTCATTTTGCGGATGCTAGACCTGGGAACAGGGTGTCATGCTGGTTGGTTACCCATCAAAAGTGGTGGTCGAACCGGGGAAGATTGATAGACTTCAACAGCGTTTTACCGTCTGGTAAATTAACATAGACCGTGGGAGATAGGGATGGAAGACTAGTTGCCATTAAACCTTGGTGATTTTAAGGGTCTATGTTAATTTACCAGTGGGTAAATCACTTTAACCATATAGGGATTCGCCAGTCATTTTTTATGGTGGTGCACCGCGGTTGACCATTGGGGATTTATCAAACGATGGGCTTATATCATTGATTGAGCCTTATGGGTAACTGGCGAGAAATCACCATCAAACATGGGAATTTAACATGAACCAAGAAACCAAGGGTACAATTGCTAGATGTAGAGTCACTTCCCCCCTGGACAGGCAGCTGCACCATGTGCCCAGATGCAATGTGGCACAGCACCAGCCGCCAGCACCAGGCGCAAAGGCCCCAGAACGGCAGCAGCATCGCCAGGTCGTGCACGCACCAGGCGCAACGGCCGCAGCGCACCAGCATCCATCGCTGCCGCCGCAGCAAGAGAATGTTAAATCACTGACAGGATACGGCGTGTGCTATGTGTCACACAGTGGTGCGTCAATCAAGCAGGCCTCTGAATCCAATGAATGAATCTGAATAATCACTCCTACAGCCACTATGCAAAGCAATCGTCTGACTCCACTGACTGAATCGCTCTCACTTCCCACAGCCAACATGCAACATGAGTGGCCGGCTGCGATTGTTTTCAGACACCTTTGGCGTCAGGTTGTTAATCACACATAGGTGCACACTTCGTGTGCAAATTTGCAACTTCCTCACGCGTGTGCGTGCCATTGTAACACATGCAGGACGACATTGGCGCCCTTCACGGGCAAATACCAACACAGAGTCTCCTGCATAGCTCTGCACTTGTCAGAGACATGCCCATGCAGACAAACTGCAAACATCAGGGACGACCATTGGCAACCTTGACCGCCAACAGCCACGACAAATCTGCCGTGCTCAGTTTCCCAGCTTGCTGCATGATGCGACGGCGTTTTTCTCCTGCGCCCGGCACAGACAATTTGCTGCAAACAAGCTAGCATTGATCAAGACAGGACATTATACCATGTCTGATGGCCACCAGTCTATGTCCTGGCTCTTCACCTCTCGGGTTGCTTGCGCCAACTGCCGCTTCAGTGCCTGTCGCGCTGCTTTCAAATCTGCCAAACGGTCTGCCGGCGGCGCAACGGCCGCAACATCAGCAGGTGCTGCTTCTGACGACATGGCTTCGCAGCAAGTGCGTCAAGGTGAGGGTCACCCAGGGCAAGTTCCTTCTGGCCAAAAGCTTGCAGAGTCTTCTGACAGTTGCTTCAGGGTTGCACGCTGCAAGCACATGCTTGCAAAGAGATGACACTAACACTAGCCTACACGGGGAACCCAAAAATGGGGGCTGGGATTATGCATAGAACTCGGCTTCCACAAGCTGGACCCTAATAGTCTCACAACATTTTCACTTGTACGCAGGCAAGTCAAAACAAGGCTTTGTAAGCATACACCATACGGCGTCGCTCTGGCCACAAACATTGCACTTCCTCTCGGGTTGGTTTGACCCCTTCGGGGAAACTCACCGGAAAATCCATTAACTCCCGCAGCTCCCGATGGAGTACTTGCGGATCAGGCGGATTGGTGCATCCGACCGCTGCGAAGCTACTGCGCCGTGCCTTCTGCGCGAAAAATTCACGCGGGCATTGCATCAGCTCCCAAATCCATGCTAGGGGATTCACCAAACCATGCTGGGAAGTTGCTTTCAGACCTTCGTGCCTTGCCCGCAAAAAGGCTTTGAAGCCAGCAAATGCACAAATGTCCAGCGGCTGCAGCACATCAGTGCATTGCGCCGGTATGTAAACCAGCTGCACCTTCTGCCTCTTTGCCGCTTGCATGACCTCCTTTGGCAAGTGGCTAGGCGCACAGTCCAGCAACAAGATACCTTGTTTGCCTGGATACAGCTTCAGCACCTCACCAATGTCTCGCAAGAGTTGCACCATGTTCGCAGCAGAAGTCCATGCAGACTTTTGCGCAATGATCTTCAATCGGGTTGGTGGCAAGGCTTTCTGTGCCCGCAGCAACTTGCGCGTCAGCCTCGTCTTGGAACCTATCAGGTAATGTGATAACTTCCCTTGGACATCTGTAGCATTGCAAATGAGGCTGAGGTATGTCCAAGCTCCTCTCCGATCCTGCTTCGACACTTTCGCGACCGCAGGAGCCACCACATTGCCAAGCCGCGGCTTCATGGTATACCCTACGCTCGTCTCATCAACATTCAACATGAGAATGTCTCGGTCGGCAAACTTCTGGTATAGATAGCGCAGATGCCGCCAAAAAGCATTGACCTTGCAGGACAAAGCATGCGGTGTGGAAACAACACCGACGCATCCAAAAGGGTGCAGCAATAGAGGGCGACAAAACAAACCCGAAAACTGGGACCAGAAATGGGGCCCTTAAGGCTAATCCTGTGCATGCAAACAATATACGGCAACGTACTCGGACCCTTTTTTGGGTCCGGAATCTGGACCCAAAAAGGGGGCCAAAATACTGCAGCAGTTTCCTCCCGTCCAAGGGACTTTCGCTTTTAAAACTGCCGGGTCCTTGTGCACCACCTGTTTCAACACTTTGCGGCGGACACCCCAACGCGCACGCCACTTCTGCGCCCACTTGTTCACGTAGCGTCGCGGAGGGACACCCACGTCGAGCTGATGGCCGATAAAGGCATGCTCCCAGTGCAAGAAGACGTCCATCGAGGAAGGGGCCACACCATGCAAGACATTGCAATCACGCACCCAATCCGAAGTTGCGGCCTCTGCCAAAAAGGCGTGTGCCCTCTGCGCTGCTAGCTCGCCGAATTCCAGCCAGTCTGTTGGCGGGGATTCCAAAAAAAGCTCTTCTAGGGCTGCAGCTGTTGGGAACCCAGCATCCTCAGGGCGCTTGTACGTGGATAACCTGCAAGCCACGCGGACAGCGAGAGCTATGTTGTAGTTGGACAGCACATACACAGCTAGGGTCGTTCGGCGAGCTGCAGGCCCCAGGCCACAACATTGCACTCTCTTTTGCTGCCGTCTGGCCTGCTGGTAAGCGCCTTTCAACTCGTTCCGGTTAGCCACTAAAGCTTGCTGTAATCGGACTACTTCAGCTGCAGAGGCATCCGGCATCATGGCATGCACAGGGACGCCGGCAAGCCGTGTGTCACACAGGCAGACAATATGGAGACTCCTGCCTACGGGCCATGTGTTTTGCCCAAAGAAGCTGTATGACAAGGAAACGCTGTTGAAAGTTCATGCTTCAGAGAATGAGCAACAGTGTTGACGGAAACATGGAAACATGCCGGTCACCCATGCTGACGCAGAAGTCAAACTGAGCCCGTCCCAGCTCTGCAAGTAGCAGCAAGCGACGTGGCCATGCTGCAAAGTGACACCCAAGGAATCCAAGTCTGCAAGTGCGCTGCGTTGACAGCAGCCGGCATGTCACAACAAGGGCCCTCACTGACGACAGCTAGTTTGCAACCGTCTGGCGACCCCTTTTTTTGGAACCGGGCGTGGCCTCAGTCTTGTCTGTATAAGGGCTGGCTACACTGAATGAGAATCGCATTCCCTTCTAGCCATTCCCGATCTTCTGCAGCGAGCTGCTCCAGTTCGGTGGTCCAGACATTGGATGTGACAATGAGAGCGACATTCCAAACCCAGATGCGATAAACATACATGCCTGTCGCCGAGTGCCCAAGTGAAATTTCGGCAGGCGGCGCCTGAAACAATTTTTTGTGCTTCAAGACAAGATGGACACTAGCTTCATCAAACACCACACACCGGTGCCGTAGCACATCATATTCCCTCATGTCGGGCTCCAACACCCCAGAACAATTGGTTTCATACGTGTGATCTGCGCCAAAGAGAGACCGTGCATAGACAGTCTTCCCCAGGCGCGTTGGGCCATTCAGCACCAAGAATTTTCGGCGATGCATAGGCCGCGTGAACTGTGGCAAGAACAGCTGCGTCACTTCTGGTAGTTCCACTGGCTCTTTCTGCAGTGGGCGCAAGAGCTCTGCTGCAGCAGCCTGCTGCTGCTGAATGTACAGCTCCCGTTGTTTCTGGCCATGGTACTTCAGGTTCTCACAGTAAGCACGAATGTTGCGCTTGCACTGGACGTAGTGCTGCTCGGCACACTCCTTGTTAATCTTATCCCCCTGCCAAAGTCCAGTCACCCAGTCGGGGCTCACTGTGAAAGTCTGGTATGCTGGGCAAGTGGTCTGGCGAAAAATGGACCCTTTCTTCTCCACTTGGAGATAAAAGTGCCCTTGATCCAGTGCACGACGGACTGACCGCCCACGAGCCTGCGAGGAATCCAAGGAGATGTGCGGCTTGCACCCACGAAATGCCAAACTTTGTCCAGACAGATGCACTTGTCGCCCTGGCCGCAACATGCGGGTGCATGGGCCAGGAAGGTACGGTGCTAGAGCCTATCTGGTTCTGTTAGCCATCAGAACCAAACATGAAACAGGACCGAAAAGTATGGGGAAGGTGCGTCCTCACATTGGGCTGCGAAAAAGAATGACTGGCACTGGGAATGAAAGAAAAAATGACATGATTCAGGCTTGCGAGAGAGGTGCCCGCATTGCTGCCGAGTCGCGGGTGTCAAACATCATGTGCAAGTGAATGGAAGGCACTCTGCGTTGCAGCGTCACCTCTGTGTGGAGCTCCAGGGCGGTGCTGACCCGTTCAAAGCGGTACTTGTTGCCGAGCTCGGTCATCCAACTTTGAAAGTCATCCCAAATGGCAAGCACCTGCGGTGCGTTTCGTAGGCCGGCACTGAGCAGATCAATGTCGACAGATGGTCCTGCCGCAAGCAGGTCCAAGGAAGGTTGATGCTCAATCATGCTAAAGGAGCCACTGTATCGGAACATAGTACCAGTGCCCTTGTATGCTTGCGGCGATGGCTCGTTGACAATCGGCTCTTCGACATGCCACCCTGCCAGTAGGTCACGTGCAGCACGTGCAAACTTCACAGGAATTTGCGGCAACATGTCGCGCAAAATCTGCGGCCTGTCGGCTTGTGCAAATGAAGCTCTCCACCGCTGCCGCTTGGCGTGTCCGTGCTCATTCCGAGCGGCCATTCGCTGCGCAGCCCATTTGTCGCGCAGCCATATCAGCAGCTGCTTGCGTGCCTCCCGGTCAGAGGGGCCGTCTGGCGGCGGCTGCTTACCACAGAGTCGCCGTCGGACAGGCATGGCGGCACTGTGGCTCAATGATCATGTTCTTGTTTTGCTGCGTGACATGAAGGGGCCCTCATGGGAAGTTAATACCCTGGCAGCTAAGCAGTCGATGACAAAGCGACCGTACAATGAACAGCATGCAATGCCTCACCATGCTCTGTCTGGATGTGGGCACGGCGGCGGCACCCAAACAGCAGACCAAGCCTGCTCGCAGGCATGAGGACAAGCAAGCTTCCCATAGAGGAGCAGGAGATAGACGCGTCAGTTCTGGACATTGATGAGTTCAAATTGGTTATAAATGGGAGTCTATAAGGTCGAAATGGGGTTATGACTACTTATAACTGGTGAATGGCCATAACTGGTATAATAGCTGGTCTTTCACAGAGTGCAATGCACAAGAGCGGGCCAAAGAAAAGACTACAAGGCAAACAAGTGTGGGCAGCGGCTCAGCAGCTTTGTTTTCGTCAAGTACGCACGGACTTTCCGCGCCACTCGAGACTGTTGTCCCAGCGCTTGCATGGCTGAAAAACCTTGGCAGGAGCATGGAGAGGACCAAGCGACGGGTATGGACTGCGACAAAACCCAGACGACAGCACGGACAGGATCGGTCGGAGGACCGCGGAGGACCAAGCAACGGGAAAAACTATGGAAAAACGGGGGCAAAAATGGCGGTCCTCCAAATCCGCCTCTGGGAGAATAGAATTATTTGTAGCTACAAGCGAGGTTGGAGGACCATGTTGAAGCATGTTGTTCTGTGTCGCCACCATTCTAAAGGTGTCCCTTCCCACAGGCATGGTACTTTTCTTCCTCCTCTGGGTCTACAGACCTATACATACATATCTATACCTACGTAGATATATCTTTTCATCGACATTATATTATTATATATATACATACCTTTCTCTCCATGTCTTTCTCTATCTCTCTATCGCTCTTTTATTCTCGATCTATATATATCTCCATATACATGTCTATCGCTATCTAGAATCGGTACTAGAATGAAATACTCTAATGACCGGAAAGCGGGATCTTGAGCACTTTCATGCTGACAGCTTTGAACCAGGTAAAACCAAAAGACTGATCTTTATGTGCACATCTCCTGTTTTTTTCAAAATGCAGCATGGCATTGAATGCTTGAAATTCCCAACGCGAAGCATTGGCTTTTCGAACCGGATCACGAACAGTCCCGATCACCGACTTGCATCTCGAACATTCTTTTCCTTTCGACCCGGATCACGAACATTCCCGATCACCGACTTTCATCTCGACCATTGTATTGAAAAGTGAAACGAACGCATTGGGATGAGGAAGCGACCAGTTTCATATCAGCCACCTCCTAAAAAACTAGTCTTGTACGCATTTTATTTCGAGGTCTCTATTCTCCAAATCACATGTCTATCTAGATCGATATAAGGCTTTCTGGGGTATGTTCCGACTTGTCTTTTGTAAAGAATCCACCTTGAAGTCGTTTCAAAGTTCTTCAAACCTAAAGTTTTGCGTTTGGCAAAGCTCAGCTGTGTCTCATAGATTTTCTGTCCGCGTCTCCTAGATTTTATTCCAGTCATTATCCCCTTTGGTGGTTTTGGATGGATAGGGCAATTCAGGCATCAACATTCCTTGAATTGGGCAATCCATCCTTTAGGGGGTCATTACACTCCCAAAAATTAGCATAACCCCAAAAATATTGTCGCGGATGAGATAGGGAGGTTCCCGGTTCAACCAACCCTTATATAATATCCAGCAACAACCAAGCTATCTAATCCGCTGGGGGGGTTCCTACACCGATTTAATCAAATGGGGGTGTGCTTCGAAGTTGCTACGCACGGAGCGGTTCGCACCCCCCAATTGACCAAATCAGTTCCTAATTATATAATATTCTCTTATATTAATATATGTATATACAAATATATGTACGTACGCATCTATCATCCCATATCATCTTTGACATTTGCTGTCATGAAACATTGCAATCCCAATAGTTCACTCACCTGCATGGTTTGGCCATTTGGGGATGATTGAGGTCGTTATCATTTACCCTTTTCCGACAATCTACTAATTCATGCAAGCACCCTCATTTTGCGGATGCTAGACCTGGGAACTGGGTGTCATGCTGGTTGGTTACCCATCAAAAGTGGTGGTCGAACCGGGGAAGATTGATAGACCTCAACAGCGTTTTACCGTCTGGTAAATTAACATAGACCGTGGGAGATAGGGATGGAAGACTAGTTGCCATTAAACCTTGGTGATTTTAAGGGTCTATGTTAATTTACCAGTGGGTAAATCACTTTAACCATATAGGGATTCGTCAGTCGTTTTTTATGGTGGTGCACCGCGGTTGACCATTGGGGATTTATCAAACGATGGGCTTATATCATTGATTGAGCCTTATGGGTAACTGGCGAGAAATCACCATCAAACATGGGAATTTAACATGAACCAAGAAACCAAGGGTACAACTGCTAGATGTAGAGTCACTTCCCCCCTGGACAGGCAGCTGCACCATGTGCCCAGATGCAATGTGGCACAGCACCAGCCGCCAGCACCAGGCGCAAAGGCCCCAGAACGGCAGCAGCATCGCCAGGTCGTGCACGCACCAGGCGCAACGGCCGCAGCGCACCAGCATCCATCGCTGCCGCCGCAGCAAGAGAATGTTAAATCACTGACAGGATACGGCGTGTGCTATGTGTCACACAGTGGTGCGTCAATCAAGCAGGCCTCTGAATCCAATGAATGAATCTGAATAATCACTCCTACAGCCACTATGCAAAGCAATCGTCTGACTCCACTGACTGAATCGCTCTCACTTCCCACAGCCAACATGCAACATGAGTGGCCGGCTGCGATTGTTTTCAGACACCTTTGGCGTCAGGTTGTTAATCAGACATAGGTGCACACTTCGTGTGCAAACTTGCAACTTCCTCACGCGTGTGCGTGCCATTGTAACACATGCAGGACGACATTGGCGCCCTTCACGGGCAAATACCAACACAGAGTCTCCTGCATAGCTCTGCACTTGTCAGAGACATGCCCATGCAGACAAACTGCAAACATCAGGGACGACCATTGGCAACCTTGACCGCCAACAGCCACGACAAATCTGCCGTGCTCAGTTTCCCAGCTTGCTGCATGATGCGACGGCGTTTTTTCTCCTGCGCCCGGCACAGACAATTTGCTGCAAACAAGCTAGCATTGATCAAGACAGGACATTATACCATGTCTGATGGCCACCAGTCTATGTCCTGGCTCTTCACCTCTCGGGTTGCTTGCGCCAACTGCCGCTTCAGCGCCTGTCGCGCTGCTTTCAAATCTGCCAAACGGTCTGCCGGCGGCGCAACGGCCGCAACATCAGCAGGTGCTGCTTCTGACGACATGGCTTCGCAGCAAGTGCGTCAAGGTGAGGGTCACCCAGGGCAAGTTCCTTCTGGCCAAAAGCTTGCAGAGTCTTCTGACAGTTGCTTCAGGGTTGCACGCTGCAAGCACATGCTTGCAAAGAGATGACACTAACACTAGCCTACACGGGGAACCCAAAAATGGGGGCTGGGATTATGCATAAAACTCGGCTTCCACAAGCTGGACCCTAATAGTACATGCATAAACCATCCCCAATAGTAAACCATAAATGGATTGTGTAAACTATCAAAATATGTCTGGTTGATGACATTGCTTTACTTGCATTTGTTTCTGATTGGTGGTTTGGAACATGATTTTTATTTTTCCATATATTGGGAATGTCATCATCCTAACTGACTTTCATATTTTTCAGAGGGGTTGAATCACCAACCAGATAGCCACATGACAATTATACAATTATATCATTAACAACCCCCAACTTATTAGGAATATCAATTCAATTGTGAGGTATATCAAACTACACATGAAAAACATCTTTGATTTAAGGAACATCGACCGGAAACCATGTTTTTTTTTAGCCATCAAATAAGGACGAGACCTGGGAGGAGGACTGGAAGGACCAGGACAGCTGTCGTGCTGAACGTGGAGTAGATTTCAGGTGAAAGTAGTCTTAACGCCTAGAACAAGTGGGATTATTCACTATGGTTAATGGTAGATATAACTATAGTTAATGGATGTTAATTGGGTCTATAAACCAACAAACATAATTGGGGGGCACCATCCTGTAGGTACTTGGCAGCGTTCGGGTGAAACTTTGTGAAGATCATTAGGCCCAGAATGATGCATTTCAATCAAGTACAGTGGGATGGTGAGACCAAAATGAGCGGATTTTCACTGGATGCAGTGGACAAACAAGAATAGCCTCTGGTAAACGTTAACAGAAAACTATGGAAAATCACATTTTTTTTTTGGTAAATCAACTATTTCGACTGGGCCATTTTCAAGTTAGCAAACTGTTAAATAACTGGAGGGTAGATGGAAATCAAATTAGCCAGGGACACTGGGAGTACGGCAAGGAATTGGAAATCAGCCATTTGACCAGTAACAGCCATGACAGCTTTGAAGATTGGAGTCAGCACAGAGTTTTTGGTGTTTACCCTCTGGTAATTTGTTACATAGCTATTGAACATGGCCATAGAAATAGTGGATTTTCCCATTGAAAATGGTGATTTTCCATAGTTATGTTAGTTTACCAGAGGGTAGATTCTAAACAATTCAATTCGGTACTGTTCGATCCCCATCAATAGCCCGAAAACAGCCGAGATCCATCACTCAAAAACGAACTCTTCATAAAGACAGTTGACAGTACACCGAAAACAAGCGTAATGGATCTTCCAACTGTGATGGCGATGTGACGCTGGTATCCCAGGATAGGTCGCTGGTGACTCGCAAGCCTTGTATCCACAACCATAAACCAACAGGTTTTCTGGGCTTTGTGGCAAGTGATCCCAGTTGGTACAGGATGGGTTTTGAGTTTGTTAGCTAAGTTGGTGCCAATAACTACAATTAATAACAATAGTGGGTTAATAACAATTAATAGTAAATAATAACTATAATAGTGTATCATACTTATATATTTAGATGTTTTTTTGAACCAACAAACATAACTAGGGGGCCCCTGTATGTGGTGAATAACTATGGGGTAAAACCTGGTCTGACGGGTAGACCTTCTGGCTTGTGGTGGCTTGTGAAATCACCATACATGGGAGAATACGGTGCTAAGCCTTGGTTTTCAGTTTGGTTAAGTGGCTTTGGTGTGTTTTTTTGGTAATATATATGATATGGGTTTGTCTGAAAATAGGGTATTCCCAATATCATATATTATCATCAGTGTCCCTATTAGTTCACTGGCCACTTGGGAGTATCCCCCATTTTCAGTAACACACCTATGGCCATGTATTTTTGCCATGGGTTTTTCCATGTTTATCCATAAATGGGGTTGTTCTTTTCAGGTTCCAGAAAGCCTGGCACGCAATCCGCCCTTGCAGCCCTGGAATCATGGTTAGTAAGGGGAATCATCCCCAAATGGCCGAACTATTCAGGTTAGTGAAATATTGTCATTTACCCAGACAAAATTGCATTACCCCCAACTTATTAGGTATATCAAA